AAACGGGCCTTAGAGTACAAACGACCCTAAAATAAATTAGAGCCAAGCGAGCCCATAATAAATTACAGCCCAAATTACAGCCCAACAGAGCCCAAACGAAGAAATATATGAAAGGGGAAAATCTCTACAGCTTTACATACAATAATTACAAATAAAAAAAAAAATGTGACCACCAACCCCAACCTTTGAAAAAGATCTCTTGGGTCCTATTATATTCGCAGCAGCATCCATCAAGAAGTTTTGATAGCCCTTATCCCTAATTTAAATGGCCAAAGAAAAAACTGTTACAAGTAATACAAGACAAAAAAATTACAATAAAAAAAGAGATGATGCATATTACCCAGTTGGATCCATGATCTTCACTTCCGCAAGAAAAAATCCGAATGAAAGCAGCTGCTGCATACATAGTGACAGGACATAATGAAGATGAGAATCACAACAAACAACAAGAAATTCCAAAAAGAAACAGGATACTACCTAAGAGGGAGAATGCAGAAAGTAAGCACCAAAGCACGACAAATAAAAGGGAGCACAACAGACAATTATATAGAAGACAAAACAGTAGGGTATGGACCTTTTAAAGACACTGCCGGTTCTATTAACCAAATCGAGAGCTTAGCCTAATAAGTAATAATAGGCTTTCTTATTATTCAGCAACTAGTAAACCAGTTTCCATATACCAATTAGTCTAATAAAGAAGCTTTAATACTATTATGCAATTAAAAAACCAGTTTCCTTATACATATTAATCTTTCTATATGCAACTAAGAAACCAGTTTCCATTCACGATTATACATACAAATAGCTATCTTACTTTTTAAAGAGTACGACCAGTAATTAGCAGCAAACTGAGGCAAGAAATAATAAACTAACTAGAGGTTTTGAAATCATAGAGGAAGCCAAGCGTTACTGTTTTGAAATCAGAACTCAATGTCTTTTTACATGTCTCGTAAAAGCTTGAGAAGAACAAATCTTCAACACTTTCATGAGTTATGGAACAGGAAGCAGTTAAAGGAATCAAGATTTAGCATTATCTCCTGTTAATAAAAACACAAAGCTGATGTGGCATTTCATGCTGACTGGCCCTAAGCTCATAACAGAAATAGCCTGGACACTAAACTACTGGACCTAAGCTCATAACAGAAATGCACATAGGGTCAATCACAAACGGTAAGGAGCAATAAGCTGACACACGGCTCTTCTATGAGATCAGTGATCCAGAATGAACTGTTATTTTTCAAATGGGAGCCATCAGTCCAAATACATCTATGCCAAGTTCCTAATTTTGCTGGTAAGCAACTCGAATGCTCATGAATGAATTGCCAACATCTTTATGGAAGAAATGCAATCCTCTTATTCTATAATTTGTAGAATCTTGAATAAAGAGATCTCTGACTTTATCAGAACTTATAAACTGGCATCTAATCAGGTAATCAATTTTTACCTGGTGCCAGGTTCACAGTATGACAGCAAGAGCATCTGACACTGGTTGCACCACGTGTATACATTAGCAAAGTTCTGCAACCTCCACATATAAGTTGAGCCATTTCCATCCCTGCAGGGATAACATACAAGTTAAGCAGCTATATCTAACAAGCAAAATCAGCAAGAGATGAATCGCGAGAATAAAACAACCACGACCTAAGAGCAACAAGCAGCCAAGTGTTGTCGACTAAACTCAAGTCAAGTGAGTGCCTCAACTCTAATGGGAGAAAGTTGGTCAATCACTACTACCATTCTGTATGCTTCCCTATGCTTCTTTTAAGCCAAAATCAGTTTCAGCAGCCATGAAGACATAATCCAAGTTGATCAACGAACAACAGGGGGGAAGGCTTAAAAGAAACGGAAACGCATAAACAGAATATCCCCATTTTGTTACAGCATTCCCAAACTTGGACACTCAGTCTGAGTCTCAGAAGTAGAGGATGATTGATTGTCCTCAAACAGCAATTTTCTCTCACAGAACTATCATCAAACACCTAGTACGCACTCAGTAAAACCAAGATGAAAACTAAACTTAAGCAAACAAAAATGCCGGATCACGGAGAACAAAGCTTCTTCAGAAGGAAAAAGCATAACGACCACAGTTTGCTTTGCTATAGGCGAAAACAGAGGAAACAGAGCAACTTACAGCCTTGAGATTGTAGGTTAAGCAGAAAACGCCGTAACATTCAGCAACTTACATTTCCTCCCAACCCTTGCTTTACCTGTGAGGAAGAGCCACCAGAGTTAAACACCATAACAGTATTTCGCAATTTGACAACATAATTAGACTGACTTAAGAGTTGAGACCAAGCATCATGATTACCTTGCTGAAGACGAGCTTGTCACTGAGTGGAGATGCCTCGTCTGTCTTACTCCCGCCATTCAAATTACTCAGTTTGCTGAAGTGATAGTGAGATCACCAGTTAGTCAAGAAACAGGAACCAGAATCGCAAGCAAGAATTATGAAATATCCCGTTTTTTTGTCAAGTTGAGCTCACAATTACATGCCAATGCTTAAATGTAAAATGAAAGCTGGAGATGAAAGACCATACTAGAATACCAAAACAAGTAAACAACACTTACTGGGAGTACGCAAAATTGAACAACGTCTTCTTCAAGAAGCCCCCAGCAGAGATCTTATGAGTCTCGGATGATAATAAAAAAACCTGGAGAAACGGAACGGAGAGATTCAATATGCCTAGGGCTCTATCCCTAATAACTGTTATTGCAATAACTATAGGAACTACCCAATGCAGTCAAAATCTAGATTTTAAGTAAAATCGAAAACTGAGGTTGAATCGAAATCGTAGATTAAAATCGTAAAATCGTAAGATTTTAAGGTTAATATTAAAATAAACACTTAAAACACTAGATAGTAATAAAAATGCATATCCTGAAGAACAATCAACCACATAAAGCATAATTACTTCCCAAGATAAGTTTGTTTGCTAAATAAACACAGCTAATCCATATATTTTTCTTATACATAATGGAAACACACAAATAAGCAACCTGAAACATTATAGATATCACTTAATTAATTGTTAAGAGTAGAAAATCACATAAGATCGTTAGGATCAACATTAACATCGCTTACACATCATTGTCATCATCCTCACCCTCACCCTCACTCTCAATATCGTTGTCTATTTGTTTGAGGACTAATATCATTACTCTTATGATCATTTGAAGTACTTTCACCATTAATCATATTTTCTTGATTACCATCATCTGGCAAAGATAACTCATTGATTGATGCATTTCCTTCTTAATTGATAAAAGGTCGGGTTAGTGGTGCTGAAGAATTGGGAGATGAACAAAAGCTTGCAATGTAAGGGAGATTTGGATTATTGTGAGGGTGGTGGGAACAAACTACAATCTAATTGGGAGGGTGGAAGATATCGTTGATTGAAGGAGTTGGGCGCCGACGTGTGAAAGAGGAAGATACGAGGAAGAGAATGAAAATAAATTGAGGGTTAACTATTGGGTTGGGGTTGTGTTTTTCATTATGTTGGGTTGGGGGAAGTTAACTTGACTCGGTTCATGGGCAGAACCCCTTGACCGGCCTAATATCGATCCAATTGATATGAACCTTGAAATCGTACAAAATCGTAGAAATCGTAGATTTTAAGGATTTTAGAGTTTTAAATCGGGATTTTATGGGATTTTAAGGTTCAAAGATTTTACAGTAAAATCAGAATCGGAACCCATAGGTAAGATCGTAAAATCGTAAGATTTTAAGATTAAAATCGGGATTTTGACTACATTGGAACTACCCATGGAGACATCATTTCATTGTGTCAAAATCTAAATAAACCTGGGCGTCCCTCAACGACACAAGAAGCTCAATCTTGAAAGTTTTCCCTTAAGTGACTATCAAACCACCACATTAATATAAGACATACAGGTAAGAAGGCTTACCACAAAGCTAGGCAGGCGAGAAACATCACGCGGTTGAGATTCTGAGTTTTCAAACTGTGGAATCTGGCCACCTATCACAGGATGAACAATACCAAAATAGCTTGGGGGAGCATGAACCCCTGAGTAAGGATGAGCAGCAGACATCGCACTTTCTTGCTTGCCCTCGCTATAATCAGGTGCTGCGCTGGCTGAAACATCACCATCGTTTTGTAAATCACCAGACACAGGAGAAGGTGACTGTGGTTGTGGCTGGTCAGGATAAGTTCCCTCGGCATCTGCAACTTGACTGTTGGGAGCCAGGTATAGCAAGTCAGCAAAACTATGTAAGTGGAGGTGACAAGACAAATGCTGAACATGCTACAGCCTATATTTGATAGCACCAGTCAATGTAACTAATAATAAAGTCCATGGCCATGGTACTGAACCACAGACCAATGTTATCCAAGTCAAACTAAAAATTTATATATTTAAAACACACCTTGCTACCGGCTCCTCCAGAGCTTCTTCAACGCTGTGTGTTGCTTCGGACAAGGGAGGGGAGCTTTTTTCACTCTCAGGTCCACTAGCATAGCTTGAAGTTACTCCAAAGTTAGCATCAAAGCTTCCAAAGCTCAATTTGGTTCTCTCCGATTCCGGAACATGGATATGGTTTGGAATAATAACATGCTGTCGCTGTGGAAGAGGAAGCTCCAACTTCTGCAAGTTAGCACTTAAATCATCCATATCACCTGCTGAAGCTGGCTGTGCTTGAGGAACTGATTGAGGAACAACTTCAACTAGTGCATTAGGAACCTCTGTCGAGCTAGTTATAACAGAAACCTGGCCTGCAGTGGAGTTTGTAGGTTTTGGTTTCCACTCTTTAGTAGAACCAACTGTTGAAAACGCAGAGAGATAGTTAACTACCAAACCAAAACTAAATAAACAAATAGCAACAATGAAGAGGAATCTTGTAGAAACACTGCACAGAATTATCCATAACAGTATATGATGCAAGGTCATATCTACACCAGCAGTAGATTAGAAAACCATGTGTTTTCAGTCAAAAGAACTTCTTCAGCAAATAATACACCAGCAGTAGATTTGAAACCCCAGGTGCTTCTCCGCCAATTGGATATACTCGGATACTGGCTGACCCACTGCGCCGCTCTATCTCTCACATCCTCTTCCCTAGCTGCAAAATTTGAAGCAAGAGTTAGGATGATAAAAGAAACCCCGTAGAAACGGAGAGATTCAAACACGACAGTCGATATCAGTCGAACAAGAAAAGTAAGGGGAGATATAGGTTTACCGTGGCAGACCCAAGAGTGGAGGCCTTCGGTGATGGAGAGGTCGAAGCGACCCTCGAACCACGTTCCCTTGACGAAGACTGGTTCGCTCGCAGGGGTGTAAATCTCGAGCTTCACGCATGTGTGCCTCGTCCCCGCCGCCGCAGTATCCATTCTTCTCCGCCGTCACCATCTTCTTCTTCGCCGTCGAAATGGGATCTGGCCTCCTTACTCAACCTCGTCGACATCCTCCACAGAGACATCGGCTCCTCTCATCGTCCTCTACAGCAACTCAGCAAGTCCGCCAACACCGTTGAGCTTCTCCGCCTGGCCCCATGAACTATGGACAAAGGGGCCTTCCTTGGTGTCGGTGAGACTGTGACTTTCATGGAATGGAGCTCTGATCGGCTAGGAGATGGAGATTAGCAGAGGAGTCAAGAAAGGGGCGTAGTCTAATGCTCCATGCAAGAGGCAAAACAAGAAAGGGGGCTTTTCTTAGGGTTTAGATCGATCTGATTTGGGGGAGATAAGGTAGCAAAATTGAGAACTGCGGTTCATCCGCCTCAATCGATCAATCGAACGCTGCAGATGGAATTCAAACTGGAGAGAAGTGAAACCCTAAAAATTACAGAGGAGGATTGGGGTCTAACTTGAGAAGGGGTCTGTTTGTTCAGTGGTGGAGTCGATGAATTGGGGGAGAGACAAGGGAAAGAAGGATCGAGAAGGAGAAAGGAGGATCGAGACAAAGTCTCTCACTTATGATGAAGAAGACGAAGTGGAATAGATAATTGAGGACAAAACGACAAGATGATGAGTTGTAATGGCAGGAGCTGAAGTTGTATATAATTATAAAAGTTTGGGTGTTTTAAGTTTATTATTTGGAAAAAGGTACTATAATATATATGATTGTTAGTTAAGGGATTGATATGAGGAGAATGTAAGATAAAATTTATATGGGACTAAACCGTGAACAACCATTAATGAAGGGATATAATTGCAATTGTTTTTATTATTAATAATTACCTTAATTATAATTAAATTAAAAATAATTAATAATTAATTAATAGGTGTGAACGCAGGAGTACACCGTATTACGCTATATATATATATATATATATATATATATATATATATATATATATATAGGTGGCTACTTCGGTGCACTCACTTTTTTGGGTGCACTCAGTGCACCCAACTCTAAAAGCGTCCAAAATACTTCAAATTTTGAACTTTAATTAGTACTCTCAATATAATATGATGATATGACATAGAATCATAACAAATCAATCCATTACCCTAACCCCTTAACCTTCAATTTTGAATCCCAACCCAAAATCCCAAATTGTAAACCTAAACCCTAACCCTAAATCCTTCAAATTAAAGTAAATTTTGAATGAATTTTTTTCAAATTCATGTGCTTCTTGTTCATAATATCATAAGCAACAATTGATACTGTTTTGACATGATTCGCATGGTTAGAATGACAATTATGAGGCGGGTGCACTGAGTGCACCCGAAAAAGTGGGTGCACCGAATACGTCACCATATATATATATATATATATATATATATATATATATATATATATATATATATATATATATATATGGGGAGTTCTACGGTACCCCGGGTGAAATCCGGGGTACCGCATACCTTAAGTAAGAAAACGCTCTCTAGAACTTGAATTGACTGATCTTTCGGACATTATACTATACTCTAACCCATAAAGATCAAAATCTAGGTCTTAATTCTCTAAATCTTATACCCCAAGATCAATTTAATTAGAAACAACAATCGACGGTTATGATTCGTCCAAATATAGGCAAAATAAGTAATGCACCATCTTAGGGTTTATAGTTTATGATTTAGATAATTGGGATCTAGGATTCACTCATTAAGGGTTATGGTATAGTATTATGCCCAAAAATCCTGCTAATTCGAGGTCTAGATAGCGTTTTCATACTCAAGGTATGCGGTACCCCGGATTTCACCCGGGGTACCATAGAAGGCACCATATATATATATGGTGCCTTCTATGGTACCATATATATATATATATATATATATATATATATATATATATATGGTGGCTACTTCGGTGCACTCACTTTTTTGGGTGCACTGCGTCCAAAATACTTCAAATTTTGAACTTTAATTAGTACTCTCAATATAATATGATGATATGACATAGAATCATAACAAATCAATCCATTACCCTAACCCCTTAACCTTCAATTTTGAATCCCAACCCAAAATCCCAAATTGTAAACCTAAACCCTAACCCTAAATCCCTAAACCCTAAATCCTTCAAATTAAAGTAAATTTTGAATGAATTTTTTTCAAATTCATGTGCTTCTTGTTCATAATATCATAAGCAACAATTGATACCGTTTTGACATGAATCGCATGGTTAGAATGACAATTATGAGGCGTGCACCCGAAAAAGTGGGTGCACCGAATACGTCACCATATATATATATATATGGTTCAGGCTAGCGTACACCCGGGTGTACGTTAGGCTACCGTACGCCCGTTTGAGTTTTGCTATTTAGATCATGGATTAATCGGAGTTTTGGTCATGATACTATACCCTAACCACTAATGGATAAACCCTAGTCCCTAGTTTTCTAACCCAAATCATGAGATTCGTTTAATCATAAAATGAAAATCAACAATAATTTCGACGAATCAGAACCGTTGATTTTTATTTCAAGATTAAATGAATATTATGTTTTGGGTTAGTGAATTGCGGACTGGGGTTCACCCATTAGGGGTTATGGTATAGTATCATGTCCCAAACTCGGGTTAATTCATTGTCTAAATAGCAAAACTTAACGGGCGTACGGTAGGCTAGAGTACGTCCAAGCATTGATTGCCAACGTTTATAAGTTCAACAACCTCTTCTTCTAGGGCTTCAGAACCCTGTGCATCATCCAGGCTAGCCCAAGAGAACACAATCCAAACTGCAATCTTGGCTATACCATGCACGCAGCAGCACTATGGCATCCACAGTTCATATATATATAAATATAAATAACATCACTAACTAATTTCACTTTATGATCCAAGCATTGGTTGCCAACGTTTATAAGTTCAGCTAGTGTTGCCCCATTCTTTTCCGGGACACAAGATGGAAGCATGTAGTTGAAGAACTGCAGGGTACTATAGCATTGATTATTACCGGAAGACTCTGTTACAACCCTCCAAGTAATAGCCTCTTCCATAGGCGTCACATCCAACCCTTTTGCCGCATCATCAGTCTCCCTGCACTCCGCAAGTAATACCCCAATTTCAGCTTCTCCCAACCAAATAGAATTGGGCGGCTGGGTCGAGTGGATGGGATTCTTTCCGCCTTCGCTCATGGTAGCCTGAGCTAGTGTTCCCCATCCAGTAGCTCTTGATTCCTTCCTCTTCAGAGATGGTCGTAACCATAGAACCCCTAGTCGCTTTCGGTGTTTCTCAATATCCAACAAACACCCCACCTTAACCTCCTCACATTCGAAAACTCCCCCATTCATATCTGGTGGTATTGCTCCCTGGAGATAGTACTCACCCACCAACCACGAAACCACACAAATGAGAAAGTGAGAACAATTTATATACGGATTGCTCACCAGATAGAACAAGCTGCGGCCGGCGTCGGCCATAGCCGTACTTCCGTTCAGTTCGTTTTGAAGCCTAGAATACACGCCCTTCCTCTTCACACCGTACTTGCCTTGATCAAACATGAATTTGATTTCAGCAGAGGTACCGTCGCGAGCTGTTTCTTTCTCTGTGACGTTGCCCGAACCAGAGATAGCCTTGAGCAGTGGTGCTGGCATCTGCGGACCGATACGAGACGGAATTCGTCCGGGATCCCTAGCAAGAGCGATGATGGTCGCCGTTGGCATGGCGGCGTAAGAAAGCGGAACCATCCCGGGGGTTATGGTGCGGGACCCGTGGGTTTGCTGCAACACCTTGGTAGAAGCGGCACCGAGCACACCCTTTGTGGCAGAGACTACGAGCATGGCGGCGGGGGCCAGTGGCTGGACCTCTTCTTTTGCTGGCGTCTCGTCTACGGCAGCGGCTGGCGGTGCGATGGTCGAGGAGTCTGAAATCGCTGTCGGTGATGATTTGATCCTGGGCACTTTGCCGATGAGCTAGTTATTTCTGAGCCAAGCTTCATACTCGTTAGAAGTTGCTGCGTCGGATTGGCGTTTGCGACATTCAATGATCACCCGCAGGCTGTTAGTGACATCCTTGACCGCTGCCTGATTTTGTTCGAACTATGCCGAGGGCTCGACAAACGCTTCATTGAATTCCTTCGTCCCTGCATAAGCTATTTCCTTCAACCTCCTTTGTCTTTCATGAGTCTCATTGAAGCTCTTCTAGACGCGGACGTAGCATGTGATAAGTTCATCGAAATTGACCATGGTTATGGTACGGGTGCCTTCAGCCAAGTTCTGATACCAACTGATGAATGCACGGATCTTGGCACCCGAGATTGTCATGATATGACGCAATTACGAATAGAAATAGGTAGAGATTTATACGAAGATTTGGGAGAGAAGAGCAAAAAGAGGCCGGCGGCCGATATAGGGAGAAGAGAGGAAATTAGGGTTGGAAGAAACCCTAATCAACCTACCCGACTAAACTTACTAAAATACCCTTAACTTCTACTCGTGCCTCCATTAGTTAGCTTCACAACAAGTGGTCGTGCCAGTGGCGGCATCAAGGCAATTGGGGATGGGAACAACGCCGTGTACCAAGTCCATGCGTAATCCAACTTGTAAGTTCTTTGCACCGTCGTGTTCGTTTCCCCCCATCATTTTGCAGGCCTTGCGAGTTGATGTTTGTTTTACAGACGCAGGACATGATGAAGAGCAACTGAAGATGGTGTAGGTTATAGGCCGCACTTTGCTCACACTAGGGAAAAGAGACGATCCCCAAAAAACAGAGGATACTTTGTCGAGACGCCTACTGATGCATGAAATCCCGTTCTTGGCTTGCTTTGTGTGTTTGTTGTAAAACTGCACAAGCTAGGAAAAGCTGATGCAGGAGCCAGCCCATGTATTTTACTAGTTATGGTGTTGTATCTCTGTTCGATGTGAACAAGACTAATCCACACTGAGCTCTTCAAAGCTCACGACCGAATTTCTTATTAGATTTACATTTTGACGGGTTACTACCACACAAGCTGATAGCTAAGCTTATATAGAGAAAGACTTAGGGTAAAAACTCTAATGCCACGATTCGAACAAGGCCAACAAGGTTCAAGAATAACTCAATTTAAGTAACGAAAACATGTCACACTCGCAGTCCAACCAATATTTCCTGTCTCTCCGGCGAGAACACGATGAAGTCCTCCTCCCCCAGCGGGTCGACTTTCATCTCCGGGAAGAAAATGGCCGTGTAAGATATTATTGTTGTAGGCGTGGATCTTGGGTGGGGGTATGCGGTTGACTTTCTTAATCAAGAGAAGAAGAGTTTTGGGGGTTTGGGAAGGAAAAGGGGTTTTGAGGAGAAAGAAGGGTTGTTGGGCATGGGAAGTAAGGATAAGAAGAATGAGAGGAGGTTTTGGGGAGACAGGACTCGGGAGAGAGGGAAGAATAGTGGAAAAAGATTTCACCAATTAATAATATTATGCTTAATGATTTCTCCCAAACAATCCTTCACTAATATAATGAAATTCCTTCTATAACTAGATTGATTTATCCTCATAATTATTCTTCCCAAATTCCCCTAACTGGAGGTAATCAAATCCTCCCAATATCCATAATTATCCAAAAACATCCACATATCGAGAAGTACAAAAAGTGAAATGCTAAAAATAACCCTGCAATAATCTCCACCGCTTCGGATCAACCTTGCCCTCAAAGTTGCATTTCGCCTTTAGCCTTGCACGCCTCCGCCTCGACTTCTTCGGCTCCGTTCTCAAAGGTCCCCACCAACAACATCAAATTGGCATTAGCATAACTGTGGCCCATAGAGAACATTTCCCGCAGTTACAACATTTCCTGCCGCAATGTTTCTTATCCATCTCGGTCGGAGTTAGCCGAACCAACTCTCTTGGGGCGAGTGGAGGTCCCGCCCGACCGATTGGTCTGCCACCTGCTGCTCCATTCGCTCCTCCTCCGTCCATCGGGTTAGTTCAGTTCTCCACGGTTCATGTGGTGCCACCGCCTCCCATCGTGGCAGATTCGCCTCCGCTTCCTGCGCCACTCCCTCCACTTCCTAATTTGAATGGCCTGGCACTCGCCTTCTGCCCATCCAGTTCCTCTTCCTTCTTCTTCGCTATTCTGAAGGTGATTAGAAGCGAGTCTGGCTCGAATAACTTGACCGCCGTGGCGATATCATTCTTCAAACCCGCTAAACAAATCCTAACTAGTGTCTCTTCTGGAATACCATAGCACAGATTACCCAAACGCTCAAATTCGAATTGAAACTCACTTACAGTGCCTGATTGTTTAAGCTTGACCAGCTATTCAGAAGCAGACCCATCCGACACGTTCAATCGTATGCCGAATTCCTCATTGAATCGCTCCCATGTGATCTCCTGTCTAGCTGTGGTGTAAGCTCGCTCCATCCATTCTCACCATTGCTGCGCTCCTACGCTAGATAGAAGACCGCCAGGTGCGCCTTCTGTTCCTCCCTGGTTCCTTGATGTCAAAACCAACGATCAACTCGGAATAACCAAACGCCCGCGTCTTTCAGTCCTGAAAACTTGGTGAACTTAATCACCAGTAATTTGGCCCGAAACATGATCTCCACTTTACTGCTGCTCTGACCGTACTCACCATTCCCCCCAGTATAGGGCATGCCCATAGGGATCTTGATGTCTTCCCGACTTGATTACTTCCCATCCATCCTCACCCTCCACATTCGACGGATCGTGTTCATTTCTTCTATAGCCCTGACCTCCAGCCAAACTACCGCTACCACGAATGGGGCCTCGTGCCTTGGGTGTGCCAGTCTCCTCCGCGACACGCCTCTCGTGCACCGCCACTAGCTTGCCCAGCCCCGGTCCAGACTCGACCATTCAACCCACAACCCTAGCCGCACCCGTAATGGTAGTTGCCTCGAGCTGCGGTATGTCTAGCAAAATCGCGAGGTCCATCCTGCCTTGAGCCGCCATCCAACCCTTGCTCTCCTTGTGACAACTTACCCCTAGCCTTTGGCAATATAATGACATTTCGCGAAAGTGGGAAGAGACCCTCGTCCTTCTTCTTTTCGTTCGGCGGAGCAGAGGTCGTCTCCGAGCTATTTTTCTCGCCGCCACCTTCTTCACCTTGGGGGCTGTGCGACGATCATCCGTGAACAAGATCACAGTTGGAGGTGACGTGGTGTTGGTGACCGGCCCGCCTAGACGGCAGTTGCCGGCTCTCACTTCTTCTAGGATCTGGGCCAATACTTCGGCGAGACCATTGAGACCAGCCTTCATGGTCCCTTCCGCCTCCTTGGCCGTTCGGTTTGCGTGCTCCATGTGATATTCCAATTGTTCACTTAATCGTGATAGCTTTTCTTCAAATTCGCTTTGCTTTATGGCCACAGTTTGGAGTTGAGCCATGTCAGCCTCCAGGTTGATCTCGTCATTCATGACTTCGTCTTTGCCTGACTTCTTCGACATCTGTCTAGTCGTAGCTGGCTTACATCGCTCAACAAGCCTCTGATACCAATTTGTTGTAGGCGTGAATCTTGAGATGTGTATGCGGTTGACTTTCTTAATTAAGAGAAAAAGAGTTTTGGGGTTTTGGGAAGGAAAACGGGCTTTGAGGAGGAAGAAGAGTTTTGGGGTTTTGTGAAGGAAAATGGACTTTGAGGAGGAAGAAGGGTTGCTGGGCAAGGGAAGTAAGGAGAAGAAGAATGGGAGGAGGTTTTGGGGAGACAAGACTCGGGAGAGAGAGGGAAGAAGATTTCACCAAATACTAATATTATGCTTAATGATTTCTCCCGAACATTCCTACCCTAATATAATGAAATTCCTTCTATAACTACCTTGATTTATCCCATAATTATTCTTCCCAAATCCCCCTAATTGGAGGTAATCAAATCCTCCCAATATCTCTAATTATCCAAAAACATCCATAAATCGAAAAATGGAAAAATGTGAAATACTAAAACTAATCCTACAACAATTATCTCCACGGGCTCCACTTTCAACGACGGAGCCACCACCTTCTCCGCAGCTTCACTCTTCGGTGGCAACAAATTGTACTCTACACCCTGCAGGCTTTATCACCATCGGACTACAGAACGACACCGTGTTGACTGGTGTCTCTTCCCCATTGACGGTCTCAACCTCGGAGCCAATGGTTGCTTGCTTGCTTGGCAACTCATTAGGTAGTTGATGGATTCTCAGATACTGTAATTAATGAACCTTGTTAAACTGCCAACAACAGTTGGATGATTCATAGCAGTCTACGGAATTCATGGCTGCAATAGAGTTCCACAGACATGACATGGTGTGTTTTGTGGCCGGCATTTTGTCTCGTCTCACAAAATAGGGTGTTTGTAACAAATAAACATAAAAGACCAATAAAAGTTCGTGCCTACCAGAAATTGCTACACCTTGGTATGTTTTGTAAGAAAACTGATTGCTTACCACAATTTGTGGATTGCACATAAATTTCATTATATGATAGGTATTTCTTTGCATAATTTATGGGGAAAAAAATTGTCCCAACATTTACACCGTATATTCTTACTATTTATCCCACACAATTTCATTGACCATTCATACGAATTAAGCTAACAATAAATTGCTGGAAGTCGCTAATGATAGATTGTTGGATGTGAGAAGAGAGATAGGTCGCCGGCGATAGGGGAGGAGAAAAGAGAAGGCTCGATTGTGTTGTTTTGTTGTTATATTACAAAGAGTAATCTATTAATTTACATTTTAGCTTTAGGACAATAAATAATTAGCAAATTTAAATTTAGCATTCCATATAAAACTTCCAGAAATATTGCAGTTATCCATGGAAAGCAAAAATGAGAGACAAGTTAATTCGTTTAGAGACTAAAACAATGTAGCAAAGAGAACATCAAACAGTTCGTGCACTAGCTATAGCTGAAATCCATGGTAATTCAGTCACCACTTGGAAGGGCTAGGAAGATCATCAATATCATCAAACACATAATTAGTAGGTAAGTAGTCTTCATCCTCTTCGCCGCCGACATCATTAAATCCTCCACCACCCCCACTATTAATATCATTCACATGGCCGCCGCCAGCACCTGGCAGCTTGCTGCAGGACGGGTCCAAGAGCTGATGATGAGGATGAGCAATCAGATTATTACCCGCATCTCCCGCCGATCCAAATATATCGAAGAGGTGAAAAGGGTTGTCTCCCACTCCAACTCCCAGTCCGGCCAATATCTCCTGGCTCTCCGGCGAGAACGCGATGAAGTCCTCTGCCCCTAGCGGCTCAGCTTTCATCTCCGGGAAGGAAATCGCCGCTTCAGATATCTCCACTGGCTCCACTTTCAACGACGGGCTCACCACCTCCTCCCCTGCTTTACTTTTCGGATCGCAGAACGGCACCGTTTTGACTGCTGTCTCTTCCTCCATTGACGGTCTCAATCTTGGTGCCTACATACCCAAAAAAAAAAAAAAAAAAGAGAAGCATTTATCACCATTCATTGCATCAAACTAATGTGAATGATGAAAGAAGAAGGAGAGTTGAATTGAATTGAATTGAATTAACCTCAGGGAGGGAAATCAGATTTCCATAGGCAGAGGCAGAGGCAGAGGCAGAGGCAGGGGAGTTCCTCTTGCGGGAGGAAGAAGAACACGCCGGCGGCGCAGAAGTGGTGCGGAGGATCCTGGCGAGGCGCTTCTGGCGGCTGCTCCAGAAATTCTTGACGTCGTTATCAGTTCTGCCGGTCAAATGGGTGGCGATCTTGGCCCATCGGTTGCCGTAGCGGGCCTGCAACTCGATCACCACCCTCGCTTCCTCCTCTGTAAACTTGCATCCCCTGTCCCACAACAGACCACAATGTCAAAATCAATTCAATCAATCATCCAAAAAACCCTAATAAATGATTTTTTTTGAGGTTGGATACGTTTTGAGGTTGGGTTGAAGCTTGTTGACCCAGCGAAGGCGGCAGGATTTGCCGGTGCGCTGCAATAGGCCTTTGGATCGAATGGAGCTCCACTCGCGGGGTCCGTACTTCTCCACGTGCCTGATCAGCACTTGGTCTTCCTCTGCTTTCCATGTCCCTTTCCTTACCGTGCTCTCCTCCTTCTTCTTCTTATTCTTCGTCTTCTTCTTCGCCGCCGTCGCTGCTTCCATTCTTAATCGATCAGTTGTTATTAATTACTAGTCTCTTGTTATTAAGTTGTCTGATTTCAGTCCAACTGCTGCTCTTTCCAAATCATTGTACAGCAGACCCAGAGCCTACATTCTTCTGACGAAGTACTCCGACCGGTAAAATACAGAGTGCGGAAAGGCAGTGTTTTTCTTTCTGTTGGGTATTTGTAGTAGTGAAGTAGTGACGGTTTAGCATGGCAGTTACCCCCACTACCGCCACTACCTTCACGCACGCTCTTTTTTTCCCCCGGCTCTCTAATTTCAAAATTCAAATCTCTAATAATATCAGCTTCTCTTCCTACTTATCCGGTGCAAAAACAAATACCATAGCCTTGGGCCGAGCGTGAGAGACCCAAGTCTATGCAAATAACCATTTGTTAATTTATCAGATGTCTAGGCCCAAGCGGGTTGTCTGATATTTGAATTCGGCCCAGTTTACTCAAGGGCTTCGAGAGATCTGCCCTAGTTCAACTTGTATTTCTATGATACAATCATATACTGCTTTCAAGATATAACCTCATCTGAGTAAACCGCCCGATCAATCCGATTTGTAATTTAGTTTGATTAAAAGTCGACAATTGAATGACTCGCAACTCGATTGATTCCGCAACCTGATTGATCCATGATCCGACTAATTCAATTCGAACCCGCTCGCTTGACCCGAATATATAAATAGCACACATACGGTCGTTCAATACGAGAAGGATTTCAATGGAGATTAGCAAAATGCTAAAATTGAGATCCTAACTAGCCAATAGGAAGATTTGTTTTGCAACACTATATAGTTATAAATTATTTCACCTCATATTACACACAACATTATCAAATATTAACTTAGCATAGCAAGATACATCATAAGAAGATTTATAATACATCATAAGAAGATTTAGCATAGTTCATATTTTCACTTCCTTCAAATATCGATAAAACATGTCCAAAAAACAAAATGAAGTCTCACATACGATCACTCTAGAAGCTTTACTTCTTCTCCATCAACCTTCACATCTTCATCATTCTCATCTGAATTAATCAGTGAAAAAGGAAATGATAAGAAAAAGAGAGTAATGTATGTAACAAAAATATAAAAGCTCATTTTTTTTTACCCATTCGGTATCCTCTTATATCGAATTAAAAGTTGTCACAACGACTTCAAGAGTATTAGACAAAATTGAAATCCTCCATATTGTTAATATTCTACCTCCAAAACTAAAATATGACTCTAATACAACTAATGAATTGGAATAGAGAGTACATCATTTGCCAATATAGATAGGCTAGAAAATCAAAATTGATGGTCCTTCCAATATTGCAAGACATCATAAGGAAACAACCACTACAAAAAAGACAGCCATTAGTGACCAAATTTAGCGATGGCAGGTCAAATTCGTCACAAAAAAGGCTTTTAGGGACGACATTACACTGCCGTCAATGATGTTTCGTCAAAAAGTTATGTATTTGCGACAACCGGCAAAGTCTATATCTTGTCAGTAAAAATATGAATCGTTGTCACTAAGTCGACTTTCCGAGTGGAATAGTTGGCGCGTAGGTTATTTGGAATGAATATAATTTATTCTTCAATAAAGTTTCATCGCAAAACACTGTATTTGTGACGTAGGCTATTCCTTATCGGTAAATTTAGTGATGACGGGTCAAATTCGTTGCAAAAAGACTTTTAGGGACGACATTACACTTCCGTCGTTAGTGTTTCGTCAAAAAGTTATGTATTTGCGACGAAGTCTTTATCTTGTCAGTAAAAATATGAATCGTAGTCACTAAGTCTACTTTCTGGATGGAAAAGTCGCACGTAGGTTATTTGGGATGAATAAAATATGGTCCTCGGTAAATTTTTAGAGCAAAAAATTTTATTTGTGACAAAGGCTATTCCTCGTCTGTAAAACCTGAATTCTCGTTACTAAGTTCATTCGTTGGAGGTAAAATTTGGTGAGAACTTTATTTGCGACAGAGAAAATACTTTTGTTAGTAACGTTTCATCAAGAATTAATGTATTTGTGACAAAGCATATATCTTGTCAGTAATAAAATGTTGTCGATGGTTTGAAAATTACGTATAAAGTGTATTTATGTTATTACAAAATATTGTCCGAAATATTATCACATTAGTATGTATGTAGTTTGGCGGAAGAGATTTATTCTTTGTTTTCTGGGGTTGCTGGTTCGATTTCTGACTCACACAAAACTACACCACAAATTAATCCCGACTAGAGCCCAAGTTTTTAAACTCTCGCTGGGTGCAGTATAGAGCAAGTAAAGAAAAACAAAACGATGAGATTATGGAAGTAAATATTCTCGCATTTATTGCTACTGCACTCTTCATTCTAGTTCCTACTGCTTTTTTACTTATAATTTATGTAAAAACTGTTAGTCAAAGTGATTAATTTGAATGAAACTTGACTTCTTAGTTCTCATCAATATGAACGATTAAAGAAAAACTGAATTTTTTCCCCAATTGCGTGTCTTAGATCAAATGAACAAACTAGAATAAGTAGTATCTATTCAATAGGATCTGACAGTATGGTAGAAAGAACTATAGAGTTCTTTTTACCATACTATCTATTTTTTTCCCGAATTTCTAAAGAATATACCATACTGTCTATTTTTTTCCCGAATTTCTAAAGAATAAAGAATTCGGTTTGAATCCATTTTTGATTTCCTGGTCTTTCGAAAAAGGAACACGAGAATCATAGAAAGAATTTTTTTTATTATCTAGAGCCTAAGTTTTTAAACTCTAGCCGGGTGCAGTATAGAGTAAGTATTTAAATTGTCAACCCGGGCCGATCCATATACCCCTACTTTAATCGCTTAGGTTGTTATCTAGCAAACAACTTTAGGGTTTAGGTTTATTGGAAATACAAACTAACCAAGCAAAGAAAAGTAAATGAAGGAAAACTCTAACTAAGGGAGCTTCACCCAAGAGTTGCTTCCCCCTAACTAGCTACCGTGAATCGTTGGATTGAATGGATTCGTGTGGCATAGGTGGTTGTGAACCGCGGGTGGCGAGCAACTAGTGATCAATCTGTCACGACATCAATTCACTAGTGATCGATTTGTCACAGGATCGATCCACTCACCAAGTGTAGGGGAACCACTAGGAGGAGCAACTAGTGATCCATTTGTCACGGGATGGATTCACTGAGGTCAATTTGTCACGGGATCGATCCTCTCACTCGGTCACTAGTGGTTGCCCAGGTCTCTCCCTCAAACCGGAGTTTGAGCGGCTTAATCACAACTAACCTAGATGCAAACTGGTAACCGCGAACCGCAGAGGGATGCATATGTGGTCGGAGACCACAATCTCAATTGCTAAACCGAGGTAAGCATGAAAGGCCATGTCACTCGACCCTCTCGGTTTAGACAATCAGGGGTTGACTTACTCCCTCACTCAACTCTAAGGTCGGACGGCTTAATCGCGATTAACCGACTTGCTTAACTCAATATTGAGGGTTGCCCTAACTTAACCTAGTTTAAGTGGCTTAGAAAGCGGAAGGAAAACCAACTCGATTGAGTCTCCCTTGGAAGGGTGATTATCCTCTCTAAGCTAGGGTAAGGTGGCTAATTAGATTGCTAGCACAAACATGCACAAACCTAAGGGTGCTAAGCATAATTATGCACAACCCTTAGATTGCTAAGCACGAGCATGCACAATCATCATGAAAACACCTTTAATACTCAAATTGATGCAAACCCACACTTAATCATTCAATCTAAACAAGTAATTACAAAGTATTAGTTAGGGATCTACAACACCCAAGAGAAAAGAGTGAGATTCTAGAGAGAGAGAGAGAGTGAGGGATTACAAATTTGAGCTCAAGATCTTCTTCTTCTTCTTCTTCTAGGCTTGAATCACCACCCAAGCCTCCAATGATGCTCCAAGATCACTATAGCACTCTCTCTATCTCTCTCTCTCACTAGAACTCCCCTTTGGTGTTTTAGGTGGAAACCCTAGAGAAAGAAAGTGTTTCTTCTCCAAAAACCAGTTCCCCCTTTCTCTCTCCCCGCTGCTGTCTTCATAATTGCCCGAAAGTGATCAGTTCACGGACGCGTTGGTCAGTTCACGCCCGTGAACACCTAAACGCGTCCGTGAACTCAGCGTCGTCCAAAATGCACCGTTTCACTGTCCTGGGTTCACGGTCAATGGCCACAGTTCACGGTCTTAGAGACCGTGAACTGCCTTGTCGTCAGTAACTTCAGGAACCTCGTTGGACTGCTCGATGTTCACGGTCTTGGGAGACCGTGAGCTGCCTCTTCTGGCCGTGAACTGCGGCTGTTTCCTGTGACTCCTTCACTTCACTGTCATGAGGCAATTGTCACAGTTTCAGACTTTTCTTCGGTTTTTGCACATTTTGACCTCCCATTATCCCAAAATTCAACCTTGACCCTTCCACACGTGATAGGACCTAAAATGTATAAAAACAAGCATAACCTAGCGTGAAACATGTCGAGGAATGATGAATACTAAGCTAAACAAATAAGAAATGAGGGGTAAAATGTGTATATTTGGGCCCGAATCACTCCCCCACACTTAGACGTTTGCTTGTCCCCAAGCAAACCAAGTACAAAACAAGGTAGGCTTACAACTTCTTTTTCAACACAAAATTTTGAGGCATGTCATAGGGCACAAAACGAATGAATCACAATGGTTATTTGACACCGACCTATGGACAAAAACTAAGTAATCTTGGAAACCACCACAAACGACATTCAACCGTATTAAGATTGTGCAAAAGAAGATTTCTCACTTTATTCATCAACCAACACACAACATGCCTCGACGACTCACCAATCACAGTTACTCATGCATGAAGATCATATCATAGGAACGAACGATCGAGCAACCTAGGTCCTCACCGGGGTAAAAGAAATGAACAAAACATGATGAAGAATCGCT